TAGAGCTTTAGATAAAGAGCATCTTTGAGATGTGGCTCAGAGAAGCGAGCCCGCAGAAGGTGCTCCAAGACTGGGAAGATCTGCTCTTCTGGAACAGCATCGTCTTCCACCATCAGGACGTAGTCCGGGTTGTAGGTCTGTAGGGATGACTCCAGGCAATAGACATAGTCTTGCTTCTCTTTTTCAAATGAGTTGGTTGAAGGGTCATCGCCATAATCATCCTCAGTGCCCTCATAGCGGTTGGCCACAGGGACGTACTTGGAGAGCAGTTTGGCATCGAAATGGCTCACGCTACGTTCCACGTTGCAGAGGAAGAGTTGGTGCCCCTCACACTGGGGGCCGCACTGCTGAAGAAGCCGGTGGAACTGGGACACCACCTGCAAGACGTAGTGGAAGCCAGGCTGCCTGTCCACAGTGATAATGGTGATCACAAGCCAGGGCCGAGGAGTGGCTTGCCAGACAATGGGCACCGAGCCATTGGCGGAGGGAAGTTCTTCAAAGTAGTGGAGGGCAGCCTCACCCTCTTTCAAGCTTTGCTGCAGGAACTCTTGGCTCATTTGGTTCAGATGCCAATGGCGCAGATAGAAGTAAGAGTGAAGAAGCCGGTGACAGGCTAGGGGGGCCAGCAGGCCAAAGGTCACCACCGTTAGGATGAAGAGTTGGACAGCAGTGCTGCCCCAGGAGAGTCGCCTCAGCTTCCGGAGGAGCATGGCAGCTGGAGAGGTTGAAGCACTCATGAGTTCAACTTTTGCTCATGTCTGGTCCCAAGAATAAAGAACCATCCTAGAACTTGGGCTGGAATTATCACAAGCCAAACCTAAAGAGAGAGGAAGTAGAGGATGGTAAAGATAACTTGAAAAAAAAATCCAAGGACTGAACTCAACACATATCAAACTAGAAATTCTAATTCAAGGTTGTGCACCTAACTAGGGACTTTAAACCATTTTTTGCAGTAAGCTGTTACTGGTTGTGTCTGCTAATGATCTCTGGGATGCTCTTGTTATTTCTACAAGTAACAAGATCTCAGTGCATCCAAGTCTCCACACCTGAAAATATTTAGTTAGACTTACAATGTGCCAGAAAATCTTCAGGTAGGCTGGTAAGATCATTATTTCTATTCACCAGCTACATAGACATGGGTTCTTAAAATAGTCACACAAAAACAAGGTTTGCCACAGAGAAAGTATATATATATTAGAGTGAGTTCCAGCATAAGTGCACAGCAAATACTTGTTGATTAACTGTGCATAGTAGTTTCTGAAAATTGTCTTTTCTGCACATTCCAAACATGAAAAGGAATACTTAGGAATCGAAAATGTCTTTGTTATTTAATGTAATCTTTCATTCAAATTTCCCTAAGCTTATGCAACTATAGTTAAAATTGCATATTAATTTAATCCTGATTGTTCTGTTTTATTTTTATAGAATTATCATGGGAACCAGTGAGAGAAAGTATCTCCCATATGCAAGCAAACTCAAGAGCCCCAGTCTGTGAAAGGGAAGGAAACATCGGGAGGAAGAGCAAGAGTAGCATTTTAGCAAGGGAGGGAAGAGACAGGCAGAGTTGAAGAATGAAAGAATCAGCTGCTCTAGCCTGGTCCAGAAAGTAGTGTTCTATGACATGATGACTCAGCACATGAGCCTGAGATCAGGCATCTGTTGGTGTGAATTCCAGCTCTGCTCCCGCTTGGTGAAAAGTCACTTCACCTCTTTACATCTTAGATTCCTCAGTTCTAAAATGCAATAATAATAATACCTGCCTCGTAGGGTTACTGTGAATTTTA